CTATAAAAAGGAAGAAATAAGAGCCATCGACATCAATCATCTGTTAAAAGCCTTGGAGAATAAAAATGGCTTGGAATGTTGACTGAGTAATAAAAATGTTGGTCTTTTGATTTATTTTAAAACCTTCCTTTTAGGTCTGTCTAATCTTAAATGGCCTCAGTGATTGAAGGTGTAAGGAAGGAGGGAGAAAAAATAGTAAATTAAAGAGGCTAGAGAAACACTCTTGCACATATTTTTGTAGTTTACAAAAAGCAGCAATAAACAAAAGGGGATTTGTCCCTGATAAAACCAGAAAAAGCATCTTCCAGGAATGCTTTCTTGGGGAACTGAGGCCTTAAATCTGCACAGGGCATTTTTAAGACTCCTGAAAATACACTGAATCGTCAACAATTTTTATCTCTTCTACCAATTTAATTTTTTTTCTTCCACTTTGTTTCTTTTCCTTTTTTGTAAAAAGTTTCTTATTTTTTAAATTTTATACATCTTTTCATGTGAGCAACATGTTTCCAGATTATAACACTTATACACAGTCATATTTTCATTTCCATTAATCTTATATAATATTAACTCATATTATTATCCATTTCACTCATCTTTAAATAAATTTGCAATTCATATATCAGTTCATTAATTCAATATCAATATCATTTCACCCATACATAAGTTTTCAATTCTTTATCCCCTATTATTTCCATTTTCAGCTTACCACCTATTTTATTTTATATTACACGTCATTATTTTCCTTAATTTCCTCTAGGCCAATATATAATAAACAATCTAAAAACAGTAAAAATATAATAAAACCAATATATTTAGGATCCACATGGTATTTTCCATTCCCCTACTTTAATCATAATAAAATATTCTCGTTATACAATTCTAGTATCTATTAAATAATCAACTGTATATATAGTCAACTGTATATATCCCCTCCAGTAAATCACTAAAATAACTTCTTAATATCTCTCCTTTTATCTTCACTTTACTTATAATCATTAATAATCATATTTTTAATTCATTTCCATTCCCTTATTTTAATCCTCGAAGAAAAGGATTCATAACAACCCGTTTTATATACAGTTCATAGTCATATATATATGTAATTATACATTCCTAAGGTGTTTCCCAACAAGTTTTAAACTAAATACTAATATATATTCCATGTGGTATCCCCCTTATAGAATCCCTAACCCTTATCTCTGAATTTTTTGGATTTATTATTTCTTTTAATTTTAGCCAACTTTCCCTTTTCTAAATTTCCCTGATCTTCCTTCTTTCATGCTAACATTTCACCCATCTTCTCCCCCCCACTTTCCTGTTCTCTTTTTTGAAGTTTCTTCTTGTATAATTTTTCTTCTTCTTTTGTTTAATCCTGGGAGCATTTTCTCTTTTATTTATTGACTCTGTCATCAATGTCATAGTTTTAATTCCTTTAGTGTCTTTTGGCAGTGTTTCTTGTTCTCCATGTCTATCTGAGCCTCTTTCTTCTTCCTTTAACTCTGCCTCACTGGAATTTCTTTGTCCTTCTGCCATCACCATTATTTTCTTTTCCAATATTTCCAATAATTCCCTTCTTTCTTTCAGCATTCCTCTTACAGTTTGCAATTCCAACTTAAAGTCTTTGCTTATTTATTCCATTTTTTTATAATCAGTTATTAATATTCAAAGTCTTTTATTGCAATCCTTGCCAAAAGTCTCCTTTTATATTTGTTTCTCTTGTTAATCCTTCTGTCTCTTTCACAATCAACACCCAACAGTCCCAGGAAATTGCATTTGTATATCCTCTTAGTAGAGTTTCTCCCTCTTTTTTTAAAAAAAATTTCCGGGGTCCTTATTTTATTTATCTTTTGTTTCATAACAGTTATGAGTCCAGTAAATTTCCATAAGATTTTGTAGGGAAAAAAGCCTTTGACCATTAGATGGCGCTCTGTATCACTTTCCACTTTTCAAAGTTCTTTTCTTTACTCTTTTAAGTATGTTAAACATTAATTTCCAACCATTTCCACGGTTAATTTCCTTAATAATAACCAATTCCAGGCAAGTCCAGCATTTTATCAAATGCCTAATTAATGCCAATTTATATTATTTAAAATTTAGTCTCTAATTTCGTTGTAACTTTTTATACTCCAATTTTGTTTACCTTGTATTTTCCTCTTATTTTCTGTTTGCTGCTGTGATACTCTTGTGTGAGGGCACTTTCTTGCTACTTCTAGGAGTTGTTAAGAAAAAAATCAGTTCTTTTATCTGGTTACACGTCGCTCACCATTTCTCCCCTCCAGCACAAAACTTTGGGTCCCGGCAGCTTTTCGTCTTCAGGGCAGCCATTTTAGACTGCCGTTTCTCCCTGTCTTCCAGGGGAGTAATACCCAGCTAGGGAGGGGAGATGTGGCTCCCCTCGACCCAGTTGGCAGTCTCCCCCTCTTCTCCCACCCCTCCAAGGTGGGTCAGATGACTCCGGTCCTGTAGGGACTCTTCCAACAAGGGAAACACAGATCAAAACCTCACATGATCACGGTCTCTGATCCATCATCATCGGAAATGCCACCGGAAGTCCTTCCACTTTGTTTCTTATCCATTGAAGTTAACACCCAATAAAAAAGGGCAAGTAGAGAATTCCAAATACTGACAATGCAGGTGTCAGGATTCTAGCAGTTGCCCTAATTAAATCAGGATCCTCAAGCCAAGCTTCGAAAACTTCAAAGAATTAGGAGCGAATATATCGGCACGACCTGTATGAAGCCAATTTTGGGACACCTAATGGAATGCACTTTTGGTTTTAAACTGCCACACTGCTCCTTCTCCCCCCACCCCCTTGTCCATGGCAGCTCTAAAACAGGCATAGAAATGTTTTATGAGTTGACAGCAAGATTTATATGCAGGCTGCTTGTTTTCTTGCCTTGAATGAAAAATATGAGTCTGTCTGAAAATTGGAGTGAATTCCACCCTCCCCTGGGGCTGTGGGTGGTCTTCATTAAACTTCAATATCTTCCTGCTTCTGGACTGTGAAAATCTGGATGAACAGCAGAGGGCAGCAGTGAAGTGTCCATTTAAGAGTTTGCTGCCCTCTACTGTTCATCTGTAATTTCGCAGTTCATCTATGTCCATCCTTTTACAGTCTTTTGAAATACCTTGCTTAGCCATCAAAATATGGCAGATTTCTTTTGCATAAGGATATTTTTAAAATGAGTAAAACCAGGAGAGGAATCTGTGATTCTGCATTTCTGGGCACAAGCCATTTTACCTTTCCAGGGGAGTGGAAATGGCAGTGGCATGCGTATTTACACAGGCTCATGCACACATGCACGCAAGCAGAGCCAGAGAAGGAACCCAGCTGGAGCCCAGTGGCAAAGGGGGACTTACAATATGGAGCCAGGGGCATGTAGAGTAAAGCTGGAATTTGGTGTAGTGGGTAAGGGGCTGGCTAGGAGACTGTGAGTTCTAGTCCTGCCTTTAGGCATGAAAGCCAGCTGGGTGACCTTGGGCCAATCATCCTCTCACACCCAACCCATTTCAAGGGGTTCTTGTGGGGAAGATAGGAGGAGGAGGAAGAAGGAATTGAATTGAATTGTACTTTATTTAGCCAAGTGTGATTCAACTCACACGGAACTTCTCTCTGGTACGGAAGCACTCAGCATACACGCAGAGCAACAGATTAATAAATAACAAATGCAAGTAGAAAAATAGGGGCCACTTTGGTGGGAAGGTAACAGCATTCCGTGCACCTTCGGTGTTTAGTCCTGCCGGCCACATGACCACGGAGACGTCTTCGGACAGCGCTGGCTCTTCGGCTTTGTAATGAAGATGAGCACTGCCCCCTAGAGCCGGAAATGACTAGCAGGTATGTGCGAGGGGAACCTTTACCTTTAAAAGATAAGGATAAATAATGGGTAAATTATAGATAGATCGATAGAGACAGACAGACAGACAAACAGACAGACAGACAAACAGACAGAACTGTAAGAATTAAGTGTTCAGCAGAGTGATGAGGTGGGCTGAGTGGAAAACTGGAGGAGTAGGAATGTTCGCTGCCTTGAATTAGAAAGGAAAGGAAAAGGGAAGGAAAAAGAAAAGGGGATGGAAGAAAGAGGAAGAAAGAAAACTAGATAGATAGATGATAGATAGATAGATAGATAGATAGATAGATAGATAGATAGATAGATAGATAGATAGATAGATTTATTTATTTATTTGATTTGTCAGTTGCTTACAAGATAACAGGTATAAGATAACATACTGTAGTTATGAATACATGAAATGGGTACATACAAGAAAAATAAAAGAAACAACAGGACAGGGACGATAGGCACGTTGGTGCGCTTATCTACAGACCTCTTAGGAAAGGGGTGAGGTCAATAGTAGACAGTCTTAAGGTTAAAGTTTTTGGGGTCTGGGGAAGAAACCACAGAATCAGGTAGAGTATTCCAGACATTGACCACTCTGTTGCTGAAGTCATATTTCCTGAAATCAAGTTTGGTGCGATTAACCTTGAGTTTGTATCTATTGTGTGCTCTTGTGTTGTTATGGTTGAAGCTGAAGTATTCATTGACTGGTAGGACATTGCAATGTATGATTTTATATACTATACTTAGATCGGACCGAAGATAGATAGATACATAAGATACATATATATACATACATATGTACATACATATACATACACACACACACATACATATAGAGGTTTTTTTTTTAAGTAAGTTGTGACCCAACAGTGCTGTTTTCTGAAGCTGCCTTTGTGCAGCGGTGCTGAATTCCAACTTCCTCCCGAACCAACCGAGCAAAGGTGGAAACCTTTGGCTTTTTTGGCTGCGCGCCCTGGACACGCGATCCAGAGTCCTGAAACAAACCCTTGTTTGCCTCCGAGATTAGCTCTCTCTCGTCTTCGGAGCTTCCTCCTTTCGGTCCCTCCCGGCTCCTCCTTCCCTCCCCCGGGCCGGGCCGCAGACGGCTCCCTCCGCCGGCAGCCAATGGCCGGGGAGAGGGCGAGAGGAGGAAGCGAAACGGCGCTCGGCCCCTTTTTTCTCTTCTCCCAGCCTCGGAGAGCCGTCAGACCGCTGTCCTTTCAGGCCGCCTCGGGCTTTCCGCGGGAGGCGACGAACGAAGCTTCCAGGATGGGGGTAACGCAGTCCCTCGGCTTGCCCCACGGGAAGGGCGCCTATCCGGTCGGCTGCACCGACGTGATGGTGGGCCAGACTCCCAAGGTAGGGGCACAACGGGCGCCGCGGGACGGGAAGTGGGGAAAGCTGCCCCGGTGGAACCGACGGGGCTTGGGGATCGGGCCTCTCGTTTCAACAAGAACGTGAGAAAGAGGGCTGGCTCCGTTATCCCAGGGCTGGAAAGTCGCTCCTTGGATGCGCACCTTGCAGAAAATTGGCTTAGAAAATCTTGTGTGAACATTGACTCCTGTGTGTGTGTGTACCTTAGTTTACGTGTGGGTTTATCCATAAGCCATGGTTAACTCCTGGCTAAGCACAAGTTGTAATCTCAGGTAGACACTAAGAGGTCAAGATATTGCTACTTAAGATTAGACCAGGGGTCCCCAAACTTGGCAACTTTAAGACTTGTGGAGTTCAACTCCCATAATTCTCCAGCCAGCTGGGAGTTGAAGTAGGGATAAATGGTACCCCTTGTCTTGTACACCTGGTTGACAAGGTTCCCAGCAAAGAAGGTGAAATCAGTGTGATTCTGGTGGATGGTACCCCTAGGAGGAAAAATATATCAGTGTCAAAAGCGAATCACTGAGAAGAACAGTGGATCCCCAGGTCCACAGATTGGACATCTCCCAGATTTAGCAATTCAACATCTGCTGAGAAAGTCTACATCCAAACCTGGCAACATTAAGACTTGTGGATGTCAACTCCCAGAATTCTGTGGACGTCAACTCCCAATTCTATATGGTCCTGTGGCCAGCATGAAATCCACAGGTCTCCTGCTTGGGCAGGGCGTTGGGCTAGATGACCTACAAGGTCCCTCCCAACTCTGATTATCTATTATCTATTATCTGTTCATCTGTTTTCAGTTCTACTGCATCGAGCAAATGCACTCAATGAAATAGTGATTTAATTCATCCATGTGGCTAAACGTAAAACCAAATAAACTAATAGTGCTTGTTGAACCATCTCTTCTTCTCAAGCCACTCCCTGATGACTTATATAGATTTGGTGTGCTGTGTGAACACCACTGAAACTTGTTGAACACAGTGTTTCCCAACCATGGCAGTTTTAAGGTGTGTGGGCTTTAACTCCCAAAATTCCCCAGCCAGCATGCTGGCTGGAGAATTCTGGGAGTTGAAGTTCACCCGTTTGAAAGTTGCCAAGGCTGAGAAAACACTGCTCTAATATTTTAGGTCCAGGGATCCAGGATTCTCATAACATGTAAGAGATTTGCTCACTTTTGTCAACCTGGGCATAATTTTACACATTTCAGTTGCTACCATCATTTGCCTTTTGTTTTACAAAACTCTCAAATTTTTCTTGTGTGATGTCAACTCCGAGCTTCCTCTCTTATCTTTGAGAACAGTTGTTGGATGTTAGTATTCCTGTGTTTCAGAAATGAATATGCTGATTTGGTTTAAGTTTGCTGGTCTAAAGAAAGGGCCATGTGAAGTATTAATACCACTTTCTAATGCCTTGGCAAGGCCACTACATCCAGTTTTGGTCGCCATGATGTAAAAAAGATGTTGAGACTCTAGAAAGAGTACAGAAAAGATGATTAGGGGACTGGACGCTAAAACATATAAAGAATGGTTGCTGGAATTGGGTATGTCTAGTTTAATGAAAAGAAGGACTAGGGGGGACATGATAGCAATGTTCCACTATCTCAGGGGCTGCCAGAAAGAAGAGGGGGTCAAGTTATTCTCCAAAGCATCTGTGGGCAGGATAAGAAGCAATGGGTGGAAACTAATCAAGGAGAGAAGCAATTTAGAACTAAGGAGAAATTTCCTGACACTTAGAACAATTAATCAGTGGAACAACTTGCCTCTAGAGCAGTGGTTCCCAACCTTTTTTTCGCCCCGCACTCCTAAAGAAATTTCACTCGAACCTCGCACCCCCTGAAATTTAGACTTTAGGAACTACTGAACGCGTTAAATATATGGTAGGATTTAATCTTTTCAGCTATGTATGTGATGGCCACTAAATAACGATACTTAACTCTAAAATGAAAACAAGGTTAATCCATTGCATAATAAATAAAAATGCCAACATATAGCCAATATCCTATTATTTACCTGGACTTTTCTCACACCCCCTGGAATATTCCAGGTTGGGAACCCCTGCTCTAGAGGTTGTGAATGCTCCAACACTGAAAGTGGTGTTCCAGATATTTTGGGATTGTACTCAAGGTGCCCATTACTATTTATTAATGTTATAAATTATATTTTAATTACATTTAATTTAACTACATTTTAGAGAATAATAATTACATAATTTAATTTAATTCCTTTGAGTTTGATGAATCATGATTCTAAGTGTGAGGCTTTATTTAGAATTGAACCTGTTGAGTTTGATGGGATACAACTCTTAGAAGTGTATGTATTAGAATTAAAACCTTAACTGATAGTTAGGTCCACCAAACCAGAGACTATTTCTAAAAGATATTCTTTTAAATGCCATCCATATAATCAAAGAAATGAGAATTTTTTTTAAAAAAGCCTTGTCCACAGTCAACATGACAGAAGGGAGAAAAAGGATCACAAAGAAAGAAAGAAAATATAAGGACTTATTTTAGAGTTAATAATGTGTGACTTCTGCCTGTCCAAATGGCTGCTTTGGGTTAAAGTTGAAGAAAGAATTGCATAGTGTTGGTTCCAGACTGTGTTTGAATTCTGAATTTGCAATTATTTCAGATTACCTGTGTAGGTAAAAGGGCTGTGGACTTGTACATTTATCTTGACATTGTTTGTTTGGTTGACTCATAGTTACTAAGAAGGCCAGGTGACTTTGTTCCATGCAAAGCAAACCCTGGAGGGACAACGTGCCATGAGTGAGCCTTCTGTGAATCCTGCCCTGCCAGTGAATTCATTCTCTATCCCTTCAAGCAATAGCTCAAAGCACTTCAATGGGGATTAGCAGTTTGGCCCCTGTGGAGCACAGTGGGCTGTTGAAAGCAGCTGTAAACTCCTGTCTTGCTGGACGTGGTCTGAACTGCAATTATGTCTTTAATTGGCATGACTGGTCAATCAATTCAATTTAGTACAATCAGAGACCAGAACAAATAAAAACACTCGGTAAATTAATAATTCTAGAATAAAATAATAAATAACAGATAAAATCCAGTGTGTCGATTACACATGGTCTACTATATTAAAATTCAGGAGTGGGATTCAAATTTTTTAACAACCGGTTCTGTGGGCGTGGCTAGGTGGTCATGGCCATGTGACTGGGTGGGCATGGCTTTTTTGCAGCAGCAGCCCCCCATTTTGGGGGCCTTCGGAGCCTCGGGGAAGCCTCCTGGGGGGGGAGGCATTTTTGCTCCCAGAAGGCTTCCCCTGGGGCCCAGGAAGGCAAAAAATGGAGCACGGGGGGACACATATAGCTCCCCCCTGTGCTCCATTTTTGAGCCTCCTAGGCCTCAGGGGAGCCTTTGGGGGGGAATTTTTGCTTCCAGGAATGCAAAAAAATGGAGCACGGGGAGGGGTGCTGTGCCCTCCTCCATTTTTTGCCTTTCTGGGCCTCATGGAAGCTTCCAAGATGAAGCAGTAAGACAGTGAGGGGAATCCCAGCACAGCGGATCATAGGAACAGCTGATTGTCGGGAGGAGGGGGAAAAAGTACTACCTTAAGGAGTGACTGGGCAGGGAAGAACGCAGTCAGCGATGTCAGACATGCGTGCAATGTTGCCCTGCATGATAAGGACTGACTGGGCGGGCAGTGGAGGGGCGTGCGGACAGGGGCAGGGCCCGGCCGGGGGCATGATTTGCCAGTTCTCCGAATCATAAGAACTGGTTCTATAGAGCCGGTCTGAACAGATAGAATCCCACCCCTGCTAAAACTACAATCCATAAACTGTGAGGCTCCTAATCGGTTTTATACTAAAAGGGAAAAGAATAAGCAGTTTGTCATATTTGTTGTATAAAACAGCTATGGGGGATTAGATGTGTGTTTCTGACGAATCCCCAGTGATGCTATGCAAAATCTAGCCACCTGCGCTGTAGTTATGGACTATGAACTGCAAATGGAACAAAGAATCACGATCCAGATCCTGCGCCATTGTTTCCTGCCCCCAAATGGGGTGGCTTTTTATAACCTAAGGTAAAAGTAAAGATTTCCCTTGTCCAGTCGTGTCTGACTCCAGGGGACCGGTACTGATCTCCATTTCCTAGCTGAGGGAACCAGCATTATCCGAAGATACTTCTGTGGTCCTGTGGCCAGCATGACTATATGCTGAGGCGCACGGAACACTGTTACATTCCCACCAAAGTGGTACCTATTTATCTACTTGCATTTGCATGCTTTCCAACTGCTAGATGGGCAGGAGCTGAGGCAAGAATGCGAGCTCACCCCATCGCACGGTACTTGGGTCTCAAACTGCCAACCTTCCAGTTGACAATCTAAACTTCTTAACCGCTAGGCCCGTGATGGCGAACCTATGGCACGTGTGCCACAAGTGGCATGCAGAGCCATTTGTGCGGGCATGCGAGCCCCAGCCAAACTTACCTGCACTGCTCATGCACGCGCCTCCCAGCTGATTTTTGGCCCGTTTGAGGCTGTTTTTGCCCTCCTGGAGGCTTGAGGGAAGCTTCTGCAGCCTCAGGAGGCCAAAAAACAGGTCTTCCGGAAATACCGGCAGTGCCTGTTTCAACCTCCAGAAGGCCTCTGGAGGTCGGGGGAAGCCGTTTTCACCTTCCCGGAGACTCGAGGGAAGCCTCTGCAGCCTCGGGAGGCCAAAAACCGGCCCTTCTGGAAATACCGGAAGTGGTGAAACGGGCCTGTTTTCAGCCTCCTGAGGCTGCAGAGGCTTCCCTCGAGCCTCTGAGAGGGTGAAAACAACCTCAAATGGTCCTAAAATCAGCTGGGAGACGCACATATGCACAGTGCAGGTAAGGAGGCAGGGTGGGGGTATTGTGCGCGCATGCGCAGGCGGGGCAGGGTGCATTGCATTGTGGGTGCCAGCACGCCCGCGCTTTTAGCATACCACAAAAAGGTTCGCCATCACTGCGCTAGGCCAACGTGCCTCTTTTTGTAACCTAAAAACCATCAGTT